GATAGTAGGGGAAATAAGGCTCAAGGAATAATTCAATGTTTTAAAAAATGTGTTTTTACCTTAAACAGTCTCCCGCTGTCCCTCATTCATGTGTCAGCTTTGTGCAATATTGAACCTTGTCCAGTGCATCAAATGGGATAACATATGAAAGTCTGATTTTGTTTGAATATTTTTTTCTATAGTTAAATAGGTATTGTGTGTCACAAAAAGTTGTCAACAGAATAATAGAACCATGGCTGAATGAGATTTCTGAATACTACTATCTCCCAAATGAAAATGGCGACATTAGCAGGTTTAGCTTCCCATCTTTCCAATGAAGTCACTGATGACCTGAACAGTTACGATTATAAGAGGCATCTGGATGGAATGGGGGAAGAGGTATTGTGCCTTTTTAACATAAGAAAGGACTTCTTAAAACAAAAATGTAACTTCATGAATGCACACTTCTGAACTGGACTCAAGATGCCAGATTAACTGCTTCCATAATAATGGTGACCATCATTAAAGAAATGAATATTTTAAAAAAATTCTTTAAACCCAAGTGCTTCTGTTTCTTAGATTAAAATAAGGAGTAGGACTGAATAAAAAAGGAAAATACTGGCTATAGAAGAAAAACATACACTAATATATACATTAGCATATACATAGTATTAAATTAATATGCATCTCCCAAGAAATTTTTAAATAATGTGGTTAGTGGATTATAAGGAACTTTTATATTCCTCATTATGCTCCACTCTATGCTATTGTGGTCATATATTGCTTTAAAAATAAAAATACTGATAACTGAGATTTTAATAGTCAACTCTTCTATAACTAAGTTTTCTAGACCACCTTCTTCAGCACAATTGTTTTCTCATCTGATCCACATTCCTTGAACACTTGTTTTTTTACTTTCTTCCATAATTATACTAAAACTATATTCAATTATTTGCTTGAATGCTACTTCTCCTACTAGCCTTTAAATTCATATAGGGTAGAGGTCATATCTTACTCATCTAATGCACAGGAGGTTGGACATATCTGCAGGTTGAATGAGAGATGAATAATTTAACACATGCTTACCCCTATTGGCAGCACTGAACACAGCAGATTATTAAAAAGCCAAAACTGGGCACATATCAATTCTAGTCATGAAGCACAAGATGAACTGGAAGTGGTCCTGTTGGAGACAACAAAAACCATTGTAACAACACATACAATGCACGTAATGAAAAGCATAGTAGACCCGCACAAGAGAGAAATAAACCACTGGCAGCCACAGAAGAAGAATGGAGCTCAAGGAGTTAAGCCAGGGATGTTTCTACTCCAGGAAAATTTTCAGACTGAGGGAGGACAGCTAATAAAAGAGCCAGATGGTGAGAGGTGAGGGAGCAGAGATGGTGACCACTCTGTGCAGAAACGTGGTATATCACCATTATGTCTGCTCCCCAGCAGGCATTCCAATGGCTTCAGGAAACAGAGTTCGAAGGCATTCAGTGTTAGCAAGGGCAGTAAAGTAATGCTTTCTCTTGTTTAGGACCCCGAGGTGCCCACCCTTAGATAGATGTAAAGGTTGTATTCTGGAGATCCAGAAAAATTTTGAGTATTGGCCCTGGACTTCTAATTCACCCAGATGTCCAGAAGAATGAAAACAAAACCCTCTATGAAGAAAGATAAATTAAATGTTCAGTAAGCCATTAAAATAATAAGGCTAGCCAATATGAGAGCCATAAATCACAGACAAAAATAACAGGAATAGTACCAGAGGAAATCTACGTCTTAGAGTTAGCATAGGCAGATTATAAATCTATCTTTAGAATATTTATAGAGATAAAAGATGATCTTAAAAATGTCAACAAGAGCTTAAAGACATATATGTATATATATATATATATATATATATATATATATATATATATATATAAGACTTAGACATTGTAAAACTGGACAGACACAATACAGTAAGAATAAAAGAGAGGGTATTAACAGCAGGTTAGTATAGCTAATGAAAGAATAAGTGAATTTTAAGATAAGTCATAAAAAGTATTCACAATGAAGCATGGAAAGACAAAATTATGAAACATACAAAAAGAGTAAGAGAGAGAAAAAACAATGAGAAGTTCTGATATACATTTAATTGGGATGCTGCAGAGAGATAAAGGAGGCAGAGTCAATAATTAAATAATAGTTTTTAAAACTTATGAAACATTATCAATCCACAGACTCAAGAAGCCCAATGAAGTGAAGACAAGATAAATTAAACAAAACCCATATTTAAAACACTACAGATAAATAGCAGAAAATTAAGGCAAGTCTGAGAATCTTAAAAGAAGTCAGATAAGTAAGTCATTTGACCGTCAAAGGAGTGAGAGCTAAATAGCTAACTTTCTAACACAACTCTAGCATGCCTGCCCCCCAAAATTATAAAAGTTCTGAAAGAAAATTACTGACAGAATTCTAGCTTCAGATAAAATTAAGACATTTTTAAAGAAGCAAAGTTCAAGAGCATAGGCTACCTTTTCACTCATTATGAAATTGCTAAGTATGGTCTTCAAGAAGAAGGAAATTTATACTAGATGAAACCTCAGGGGTATAGCGAGCAATAAAGACATGTGCACAGACATACAGAAAGTTTTTGTAAAAGCAAAAAATTGGAAAAGCCCATCAACATAACATGGATAAACCAACTGTGACACACTTACATGGAATAGCATAAAAGAGTGGAAATGTACACTCATCAGATTGTTTCACAACCTAAATTAATCTTAGGGACAGAAGGTAAATTGGAGCCACAAGAACCAAGCCAAATGGAAAACAAATGGAATCATACAAATAGAATCATTTGTATGATTCTATTCACACAAATTTCAAATGGGCAAAAGTAAACTGTATTATTTGAGGATACATAACTGCAAAGCAAAACTAAAAAGAAAAGCAAGAAAGTCAGTAACAGGAAGGAATACATGAGGAATTTCTGGTTTCTTGTTCTTTGTTTTAATCTGAGTGGAATTACCTGATTATTCCTACTGTGATCATAAATTAAAGTTTTCATTTACATTTTATATGTATTTTATATTTTTTCTTATATTTTATAATAATTAATTGAAAAAAAGACCAACCTCTTGCAAACTCCCAAATAGTTCTCAGAATAAACTACCAGAGTAGAGACCGAATTTCTTCTGCAATTAATAAAACTCCCTAGATTACGATTTACCATTAGCATTCTCAGGGCCTATGGCAGGTATGAATGTAAATGTACATGTGTTTGCTGAAGGAGACCTATGCACCTTCCATATCAAAAAGATGGTGACTATTTTAGTTTTCTACTTTTCACTTAGTCCAAAAATAATTATTGTATGCCAGTAACAATTTCTGTACAAATTAGGGCGTAGGTACAATTATGAAAAGTCTATATAAAATAAATGCATATTTACCACCTCTGAGTTATCTGCAAAATTGGAATACTTCTCTTATTCACATAGACTGGTATTGACCCTGTGAATTACCGGGGAAGGAAAACCTAAAAAAATCTGACTCCCTGAAACATTTTGGCCTCGAAACAACAACGCTAGAAAGTGTAATTACGAGTGTCAGGTATGTTTTTAGATATCTTTCTTGGAAAATGACAAATATGACAACTAGAATTGTGCAAAGGGAAACAAACGCAATGTTTATTCCAAGAAGTCAAAAGGCTCCCAAGCATCATAACTGAAAGCAGAAATGGAAGAGAAAGCCTTGTTGCAGCAAGATAATAATAAAATAAGAGGCAAAAGAAACAAAAAGAGGGATGCTTAGAATGCCTTAAAAATGCTAAAACCAAAATTTGGCCTACCCATTGGGATGGGTATAGCATGCTCATTATGGCATGGCTTTTTCCCAGGCTTCCTTTTATAGGCTTACCCTCATGTTTCTCATCTTTTTAGATTTTAACTTACATAATTTTCCTATTATTTTGAGACCCTAATTCGTTTTGTTGCAAGATAGGTGAGAAAATATTCACTCTGTAAACAGAATCCTCTTTCTGGGATATTTTTCAATAGCTAATTTTTATCAAATTGGAGTTGACAAAAGGACACAAAGATGGAGTTTCATTCTTGCTTTTTGGTCATTTCTTAGAAAATCGGAAGTGTTCTGTGATGACTGGCAGGGAAGCACAGCTTGGGGCTCCACAGTGAAATGGGATGGCTGCTATGAAGAATGAATTTTTCACCTGCAAGAATAAACCAGTGAACAAAATAGTAACAGAAGCTTAGATACCTTGAACAGACCGACAGCTCCCAGAAAGGTGTGCGTGTATGAGGTGTGGGAGGGGGGAGACAAGATGAAAGATGGTGGAGGGATTAACCAGAGAACATTTGTGCACAACCCATGGACACAGACAACAACACGGGGACTGACTTAGGAACGGGGGAGGGGCGGCGGGGTGGAGACGGGAAAGGCAGAAAAAGTGGGAACCACTGTAATAGCATAAACAATAAAAATAAGTTAAAAACTGGAAAGAAACGAGTATCAGAGAGATTCACACACTCTTAGGGTTCTCCAGAAATAGAGAAGAAGAAGATATTAAATCTAATTCTGGGCAATACCCCAACTCATCTAAGTCAAACTGATTAAATGAATGTACCTTAATCGGTAGGACCAGGTGGCAGCCACCCAGAGGTCTGAAGGCACTCAGGGATGAAATTGGGAAATGGATGGCCAAGATGCTGCATCCGACATTACAAGCAGCCACAGCTAGCAACCTGGCACATTGTTTATGTCATTCTGTTTATTAGAAGGGGTCAAGAGAGGACCCAGGGAACCTTAGAAAAGCAAGTATTTCTTCCGCTTGTCCAGTCTCCAATAAAGACCAGCATCATCAGACACTAAAACAAAAATAACTCCCTAGGGGAAAGACAATATGGTCTCTGAGAAAGGAAAGTATGAGTCACTGATTTATTATTGGTCTCTGAGGCATGAAGATAAAAGGCCAAATGTTGGCACAGTGTAGAGTAAAGGCTTTTTTTAAAAGAGCCAAAGTGAAATGGGAGATGTGAGGAGGCAATGGATATATCAAGCCATATGGATAAAACAAATAATTCCTACACCAGTCAAAAACAAATGCTTCACCTACTAGTGAGAAGAGATCTTTTTGAGACTTGAAAGACATCTGCTTGCAATTATAATGAAACTGCTACTTCATACTGCAGGTAACAAATTTAAAATACATTAAAATTGGATGTTTTGGAAAAAGACGCAAAGGTCATTTCAGGAAATATTTTTATGGAGCATTACTCAAGTGTCAGGCTTTATACTAAACAGGTGGTCTACAGCAATGAGTAAGTCCCCTCTGCCCTTCGCTAGCACAGAATCTACTATACAGATGATTGAGAGCCACGGAATAGGTCCTGCATTGGAACTTGTGCCTGTTTGCGACAAATGATGACTATTTATTGAAATCAAGGAATATAATAATAATTATGCAATAACACACCCCTTGGTGCGATAGTTCACAAAGGATTTAATATGGGCATGGATCTGAAACAAAGTATAAACCCCCTTGCTAAAATTAATCACAATTTCAGTAACAGCAACTAAACCCTAAACTCTAACTTTATTTCGTTTAGTGGAAAAAAACATAACAGATTTCAAACATGTACCACTCAAACAGTAATTATTGTATCTCTTTACCTCATGCTGGAGGAAATAACAGGAATATTCATTATTGCTGAAAACACCATGTGAGGTTTTATTTAATGGGATGCATGCATATAAATGTGTGTATGCACAAATTTCCAACAGCCTTGTGAAAATAAAATTAGCTTTTGTTTATTACAATTTAAAAACAGGAATTAAAAAAAGGAAAGGTCTATTTGCTAACCATGAACTTGACCAGGTCTGCCAGTCTTATGGATGTCTCAACGTTATTGAAAAGTCTAAGGAAACTTTTCTCAGCCAAAGCAGTTAGTTATCAAGCACAAGAGAGTAATGCCCCATCTACAAGTCAAATGTTTCTTCTTCCTAATCAGTTTTAAACATGTATCTCCTTCCTTTTTTTTTTTTTTTGCTACATTAGTTAAGAAGCTGTCATTCAAAGAAATTTATGAGATCATGAGTATTCTCCAGCATGAAAAAAAAAAACATTTTGATGACAAGATTGTTTAGTACTTTCAAACCAAATAATGGCATTTCTATAGGAATTCCACGAGGAAAAACAGAGCTAGAAAAAGAAATCCACACAAAAGTAGAGACAGTTTATTATAGTTCTGGGATAAATCTTTTCTTGCACATTTTTAAATGGCATTAATAGTGGTCATTTGCAATATCAATTATCATCCTGAATAGAACTTTAAATGGGTTGAGAGCACATTTTTTTCAGGTGGGTATTGCAGTGAAATTTCTCTGCCTTCTACTGGGGGACCACATTGAAAAATGGCATTGGTCTCCTTTCTCTTCTTTTCTCTGCACTGCAGTGCCTGACTGCACCGTATTCAATTCAATAGTATTGAGTGAATTTCCTACTCTTCTACTTCCTGCTGCTCCTTCTCCTAAAGAAAAACTGGGGACTACATTCCTAGCTTTCTCTAGAATGAAGATGAAAGAAAAAGAATCGCAAGCTTAACTCTTTTTTTCCATCTTATTATTTGAAACCTAGGTAGCCCAGAATTGCGTGTCAATACCTCTATTCAAAGAAGATCCCTGAGAAGGAGGTAAAATATGTCAATAGATAAAAGTAGAAGAAAAGTATTTACAAGTGTGTCTGTAAGTGTGGGTGTGCAAATGACTAAATTAACAGAGCTAAATATCCCTGTGATATCAAAGGGGACCCTGTAACACACACACATACATTCATACTCTGTTAGGTAAAAAGTTATGCAACTTTCTAGAAGAAAAAGTTACACAAAGTTTCTAGAAGGAAAATTAGAAAACAAATATAAAAATAGTATTGTGAAAGATGATCAGAGCTCTCCTACTTCCAGGAATTTATTCCAAGGAAATAATAAAGAATGTACACACTCAGCCTCAAAGATACCAGTTGAATCCATAATAGCCAAAAATTAAAACAATCTAATTGGGGTGGTCAAGTTAATTATAGTATATCAAAATTATAGACTACTATGTAGGTATTAAAAATGTATACAATGAACATTGACGTGGAACAGTGCTCAGTTTTGTTCAACAGGAAAAGCATGTCAAAAGCAAAATATGTTACCAGTTTTCTTTGGATTAGATATGTGTACATATGGATATACTTACATTATATATATATGTATATATGTATACATATATATATATATATATGAAAATATGTTGAAGGCTTTTTTCAGTTATGTATTCTATATCTCCCTTTCTTGATCTTTCTCCATATCTAAATTTTCTGATTTGCCTATAATAAACATGCATTACATCTGAAATAAACCTATAAAAATGGACATAATTTTAAAAATTCATAGTATCAACAGTCTCTTTTTATTAAAAATTCCATTAAATAGTCTGTAGCTGATAGATTGTAGGGGACCGGTTTGTCTTGGCCTGGCAAATGTGACTCAGCTCTGTATGGAAAACCTACAGAAGCGAAGTGGTGGGCAGGAGCCAGACCTTCAAACTGAGTTTTCCCGTGGGAATCAGGCCCAGAAAATACTTACAGACTGTCATGGCTTGCTCTTGCTAAAACTCCCTCGCCCTGGTCTAAAGCAACAAATGTGTATTGTCTATCCTCAAGGTGACTTCCAAAGCCTGTGTGAGCTCTCCCAAGGACAGAGCTAATGAGCTCATTACCAACCCCCTCTGCATGCTATTTTTATTTCCTTGATTGTACCTAGAATGTAGATAATAATGCTCTGTGTGATAGATAATAAATCCTTCTTTGATGTAAGACTCAAGGAAAACAATAAAAGCCTGTCTAGGCAAGGGTCGGGGCGCTCCTCTCTTGAGGGAGTGGCTGAGGCACCATAGGCACTCTCCCCTAGTCGTGCCTGTTCCCTTTTTCCACACAGGACTGTTGTCACCTGTGCATCATTCTCATCATCAACCACAACAGGCGGACTCTGCTGGACAAGTTCTGCAACAATAGATAGGCTAAACAAGAAGTCCTTGTGGATTAATATTGGACGATAATGGTTGGTACAAATGGAGAGGAATAATCCATACTCAAAAAGTCATCTGATTAGCAGGGTTCATGTTCTCATATATCTGCTAGGTTTCCTGAAACTAAAAGTCTTTCTAATAAACTCTAAAAATCAAAATGCCAATATTGAGATTTCCCTATACCCATGCAACTCATCCTAAGAATATATTGCCTTTTATTTTAGATCAAAGCATCAAAGTTGTCACAGACCCAAAACAGCCATGTCAATTCAATATCTACATCTGAACTCAACATATTTATAATCAAAATTTTTTTAAATCCCTGATTTGCTTTTTATCTCTATGATGCAAAGAGGGTTAGTGATAATACATTTCAAGAGCAACAGTTTTGCTTTGTTTCTAAAGCAGTCTTCTTTACTAACATGGGAAATTAAAAATGCAGAACACCACCAGCTAGTCAGTCAAGAAAGCAGCACTGTGAATGTTAGGGCTTTGTGGATACAAATTAGGGAATTAGTTTTTCCCTTAACAGGAGCATATTTACTAAGTAATTTGCTTTCTTTAACTGGAGTCATCCTCTTCCATTAACTGGAGAAGTAAATCCAAATTAAAATCACTGTTCATCAGTTACTGCTGGGGACATGCTCAAGCCTGTGTAAGGGCCTAGGCAATAAAGCTCATCAAACGTAATTTTAATCATTGTTTAATCAGAGCTCTCAAAAGGAATAATTTGGGGTAGGGGAGAAATGGGAAACTCTTAGTTACTGCTGGCATGAAGGCAGTTATTTCTGAGGACTACTGATTTATTTACTCATGAAGTTTTTCAACAAATTTTTATTTGTTCCTTGTTCAATAAAAACGCAGTAAATACAGTGATGAATATCATACCCTCATCAGCTTACATTCTAGAGGGAGGGAAAATTGGTACATGAGAAGTCATAATTAAAAATCATGGTGACTACTTCAGAGGAAGGGAACAGGGTCAGAGAACAAATAATGGGGAGATTCCAGTTTACCTTGGGGAGCCTGGGAACCCTTAAGAAAGAACATTTAGGCTTTGCCACAAAGGATAACAGGCATTCATGCTCATAATACTCTTCTCTCAACTGTGTTAGCATCTCTCTTCCCTGATCTTCCTACTACCTCCTTAGCCATTCCAACTCTTCACTGTGAGTTCTTCTTCTATCCAATCTTTAGCCTCTGATACTCTTCAGGGCTAAGTTCTATGTCCTCCACTTTTCTGACTCCAAAGTTCCTCCTAAGGCAATCTATCCCACTCCTATGATCTCCAAGATCATCTACATGTCAATAATTCCCTAATATACTCCTCCAGCCTACAACTATTTTTCTAACTTTGGATCCATGTGTCAACTGCTTACATGACATCTTCATTTGAATATCACACAGGAATCTCAAATTTAACAGAGCCAGTGCTAAAATCAAGATATCTCACTTTCAGATCTTCTCACCCTTTAGCAATTCCCATCTCCCTAAATAGAAACACAGACTCCATTGCTATATCATTAATCAGAAAGCCAACAATGACACTTGCTTCTTTCGCATCTCTCACTCACAAATGGTAATTCAGCCCTGTCTTATTGATAGCCAAAATATATCTTAAATTTCACCACATTATTCCATTCTTCCATTATCAATTCTTCCTTAGATACTGCAAGCCTTTATTCATTCTTGTATTCACTCCTGACCACCTTCCAATTCATTGTTTTAAATGAACATCTTTTCAGATTACTTCCTAGTTTTAAAATACTTCCATTGTTTTGCCCTGGCTGGATTGAGTGCGGGCCAGCAAACCAAGGGGTTGCCAGTTTGACTCCCAGTTGGAGGACAAGCCTGTGTTGCAGGCCAGGGTGTGAGAGGCAACTACACATCAATATTTCTCTCCCTTTCTTTCTCCTTCCCTTACCCTCTCTCTAAAAATGAATAAATTAAATCTTTTAAAAAAGGTTCCATTGTTTTGAAGATTAAGTCTAAAATCATGAAAATGGTTTCTAAGATCATGCATGTTTTATCCACTGCCTAATCTTTTCGTCCTATCCCCCATGCCAGTCTTAGCATCATCCCCTGTGCTTCAACAACAATGGACTTCTCTTAGTACCTAAAATTGAAAAGGACCTTTCTCTTTTGGACTTTGAGCATGTTATTTTTTCCATTTGGGGCATTTCAGATCTTCCTACTATGTGTTCTCAAAGTAGCATGCTAATCTCCATATCAGATAAAAGTGTATTTGGCTGCAAGTAACAGATTACCCTATGGAAGTAGTTTCAGCAATAAAGACATTTAATTATCTCATATCACAAAAAGTCTGAAAATAGGCACCTCCATAGTTAATGCAACATTGCAGAATTGTTATCCAAGACCAAGACTTTTCCCCTTTCTAGTCTGCCATTCTGTGCATGCTCACTTTTCATTCAGGGTCATTCACTGTCTATGGTTACAAGGTCAGAGAACTTCAGGCATCATGTTGTTGAAAGGGTCAGGCTTAATCGAAACTTTCTCCCATCTTGCACAATAGATATCTGACATTGGCCACAATGGCCGGCCATCAGACTGACCTTCCTGCACCTGGAAACGGCCTGGCCCTTTACCTAACCCACTACCCTGACTCACATCCTGAAACCCTGTGGCAACAGTCCAGAAGAACAAGAAACTGACCCCTCCCTTATTCCCCCACAACTCCAGGCATTTTCTTCTAAAAGCCCCATTCTTGCCTCCCTCTGCTGCTTCGTTCTGCTTGGACTCAGCCCACCCGTCCTGCAGCTCCGAGTCAAGGCATTTGGATCAGATCATCCAGCTCCACCCATCTCTGTCTCTGGTGAATTTCTAACAGTTGTGACACAAGCACTATCAAGGTAGGAGAGGAGGAAGGGTACTCTCCTCTTGTGTGTATCACCTCTCACAAAATGTAGCACTTTTCTTAAAAGCCCCCACCACATTCCCCCTATATCATATTGGCCGTGTCAGTGTCCTATGGTGACTCTTGACTACAAGGGACACTGGTGAGATGAGTTTTGGGAGACAGAAGGGAAAGAGTTTGGAATGGCTACAGAATCAACAGTGTCTGACACCTTCTCCAGAGTACTTACCAAAATAATAATTAAAGAATTAAATAGGCATATTTTGTTCACTCTCTCCTCTGTGAGAGTACACACTTTCAACTATGGGGGACATGTCTGCTTTATGAGCTCAGAATCAGCACAGTGCCCGGCCCATACAGGAAATCAGTTAGTGTTGGTAGAATGAATGGATACATGAATATAAAGGACAACAGAGGCAGAAAACATGTACAAAGGAGAGAGAAAACTGCCAACACAAAGCTTTTTAAGCTGATTGTCATATCTCATTATCTCAGGTTCTAACTCTCCATTCCGGTTAATTTGAAAACAGTCTTTCATCCAAAAAAAAAATGCAACTTTTGAAAGTGCTCGATTCTTTACACAATGAATGCAATTTTTCTAACCTCTTAATTCTTGCCAGGTGACTAGACATGGGCATAATTGTTTTTATTGAGATCCAGGAATAAATTCTTTTTTAAAAAATACAATTTTAACCTCTGCTATTAGTCCTAGATGATCCAGAAAATTTTAAATTGCTTCAAGCACATAACTGTAAATCAATTCTTGGCTAAATCACTCAAATAGCATTCAAAAAGAAAAATGCATAGGAGCTAGAAAATTATTTAAGAAATTAGTCCTAAATTTTTTGGTCTAAATTTTCCACTCCGGAGAGCAGCACACCAACAGATAAGAATGCCATTCAGATTAGCTCATTAGGGAGAAAGCTGATAGAAAACGCCTGGTACATAAAAGGATGCTTGAGATATTTCTGTCTTTATAACAAGACCCAAGGAAAACCTGGGTTTACTCCCAAACTCTATCATGTCTTAAATATGTAACTATGTTTCAAGTTGAGTAAGTTCTTTTGTTTACAAATAATACAATAATCTCAAACTATCTTTTTAGTTATAACATGCCATTATCACCCTACCACTTAAAAACTTAAATGAAAAATAGTACATTGGAATGGAATACAGTCCGTTGATGGTAGCCAGCCTAATAAAACATTAAGGGATAGTTTCCTATTCCCAACAGTGTCTCTATCTACAGATGCAGAATCCGTTCTTAGTTTTTGATGGCTGTTCTATCTGGTCATCCCAAAACACAAAGGGCACCGACATACAAATACAGTACCACAACTTTTTTTTCTATAAAGGGAGGTGTAACTATCTCCACATGCAACATTAGGTTTCAAATTCTAAATACGGTTTTCATTTGAAATAAAATTCCTTAAAAAGAGAAAATGACTTGAGCATTGGCAAAGGGAGTCCCCTCAGGGAAAAATGTAAACAGATGGCTGAGAAAAATCACCCACATGCTGCACACAGATCTTGAGGAGGCATTTCTAAGAATGAAGTGGCACTTCCCAGCCTGGGCACCTTCCCACGAGGATCCTTATTTAACCCACGGAAAACAAGGCTTTATACCTCTAGCCAAGAAGCAGCTCAGTGACTCCTTTCCCACTCATCTCCCAGTAATTCAGACTCCTTTTCCATTCTCCCCAATATTCTGCACGAAGCTGATTACCAACCACTTGAGACAGACGAGCCTCTAATAAATCAGTGTTTGATGATCAGCCCTGAACTAACATCTTCCCATATAATCGGGCTGTTAAGTCCCAGCTACGCATATTAAGCATTCAATTTAATGTATGACACACATCTGTTCCACTTTCTTAGCGAGCAGAAGTTTCAAGATAACTTAAATCCCAGACCTAATCAAGGAGAAAAAAATCTTGGCAGTGTTTAAAACTGATTTTTAAAATATAATCCAAATGACAGTGAGAGAAACCATTTTGCAGTAATGAGATTACATAATGCCTAGATCAAGTCTACAAAACTACCTGAGCAGGAGCACTAGCTCTCTCATCTGAGCCTGTTTTTCTTCCCTTTTGATGCCATCCACATTTACCAATGACCTTCACCTGTATCTGGCCCAAAGCACCAAAATATAAGCAAAAATAAATTTTCCGCGAGCCCTGTAATTTAAACCCTCCCAATGCCCAAAGGCCATAAAAGAAAAAACTCACAGATTTGTCTTTCACGAGGAGAGCGCAGCACTGAATTCCTGCCATCAGCATCTTGTGGGGGTTCCAGGCCACAGAATCAGCTCTGTTGTATAAAACATGGCAAAGGACAGAGTAGTGAGGGGACCCATTAGTTTCTACTGGAGAAAAGAAATTCTACCATCAGCAGCACGCACTCCGTTCTCACACCCAAGGTAGTGCTCAACGGGATTCCTCGTTTGAGTACTCTAGGGAGTTTTGGAGTTTGGGCTTCTTTTTCTTCTTCAAGTAAAGCTTTTTTTTTTTTGTCCATTTTCAGAATGTTACTTAAGTGGACAAAGTCCAAAAAGGTCCCCATGCCTAAATGAGAGACAATGCGTCTGGGGAGCTACATTTACCTGTGGATGCCATGCAGAAGCCTGCGGTGCTTCCTGGACATCAAAGCTGAGCCACCCCAAGAAGCCTGTTGAGAAAGTTATGTAAGCAAGACAATGTTATTCCTATGTGATTTGTGCACCTGCCAACCATCCTAGAAAACCCTGAGCTACCACCTCACTCTACCTTGCTATTTTGTTTCAAGCTGATGTTAACCAGTTTGTATCCCAGGAAAATTTGATCACTGGTTCCACTCAGGCAAGCAGAGCCTCTCATCACAACAGACAGCTCCCATTAACCCTTAGGATTTAAATCCACACATCCCAAAGAAATTGCTATATTAACCTGTTGAGTTGCATGTGGTCGAAAGGTTTAAAAGACACAGTCTATCCCGTCTCAAATCTCATAATCTAAAACAGACAATATCCTTACAATGCCAAGATTCTACCATACACAAGGTACCGATGCTGCATGAGTCAGGGGCTAAGGACTGGCATTCTGTAGAATCAATGTGGCATGTGCTTGAATATGTGGATAAAAGGGAATATAGGAATTCATAGCCACCTAGCTTTAGCACGGTGGACATGGATCCTGTTACTGAAAAATTAGATCTTTTCAGCCAAATAACTTTCAAATATATTTGCAAGTCAAAAAAAGAGTGAGATTAGGGAAAGAAAACCTGGGACTTAACAGAGCTATTCACTGGAGAGGTAAATACAAGCAGAGGAGAGGGAATGGAGAATAAGGAGACAGAGGAAACCCCACAGTCAGGAAGTCTAGAAAGGAGGGAAGAAGAATCAATATGAGGAATAAGATAGTCTGGTTCTCGAAACTGAGCAATCTTCTGAGTTTAATCTGCAGGGCAGTGAAGGGCGGCTACAGTGAGGAAAAATGAGGGGACCGTCCTAGGCGCTGCTGAATGCTCTCCAAGGCTATTTACCCTGCACAACATTGCATTGAGAATGGAATTATTGTCACTTCGATTTTTTAATAGAAAAAAACTAATGTTCAGAAGTTGCAGGTAAGCTCTCCAAGGTCTCACAGGTAATAAAAACCAGGTCTTTTTGACAATAGCATCATCGCTTAGGGAAAGTAAACAGTTGGCCGAATGGTACAGTGCGGTATGGTTAATTGAGGGTCATGAAAGTACTATAGGCAGGAGGCGAGTTAAGAGACTGCCTAGGATGTAGGCTATCCTATTTTAGGCTGTAGAATTTAAAAAGATAAGGAACCCCTAATATCACATAGAAAGAGGTGGTAAGATTCTGTGTACCATTGAGGTGGAAAGTGAAAGAAATGAGATGTCTCCATGATCCTCAGAGTACTACAAAATCTGAGCCCTTTGCTGAATAATAAGGCATGGCCTTAAATCGCACTTTAAAACAGCTCTCTTATTCAGGGATGAAACTCCACAGTGAGTGTGTCGCCTAAGATGCACAATTTAAGAAGGCACACACTCCCAGAGTTCAGCTCTTGCAGGGCGGTCAGAGTGTATCCCTCTTCAGTCTGAGTCCCAGGAACCTCACTGTGTCTCCTTAGTTCCAACCCTGCTTCCATGGACTAGAGTCCCCAACAACCCCATGGGGTTCCAAAGGTTTGCGAACTGAAGGTAGTGTGCATGCAAATCCCACAGACTTTCAATTACAGAGTTAATGACTTGGGGCTGTCTGTCAAGTCCCCTTCCTGCTGCACTCTCTCCCCCCCTGCCATTCCCAATGGACTATGTCCAAATTAAGGCTGAGATACAGAAGCAACTGCCTTCAGCAACTCAGAAATCTTTACCCTGGCTTACTGAGGATCTCCAGTTCTGGATTTTGAGATCTTGACCTTCACAAACATTAAGGTGACTTACATGTAATGTTCTCTTACTTCTATTACCCACCCCAACCACTAAATTGCCTACTTTTCTCAAGCCTTTCATCCCCAACTTCATTAAGAACCTACCAGTGACAATGAGGGACAATAAGATTCAGACACACCCATTTGCTCTCTTACTTTTTCCACCTGCCTCACATGCTATACTCACACTCCTTCATGTCTCCTGCACTACTTTCTGCTTCCTCTGCTACCTCCCCACCCAAAGTAAATGATATTCCCCCAGTCTTAGTGAGCTGAATTGAAGTTTTCAAATCACATGCATTCTTTCAAGGCTTTAGTTCACTGGTTTACAGGACAGTTGGGCAGGTTAGGAACAGCTGACCCACAAACTTATTCCTCAGAAAAGCTGAAAGGAGAAAAACAATGTATGTCCTACTTCTATTTTCTTCACTTTCTAAATTCTGATGCCAAAATTTGCAAAAGCATCAAACAAATCACCTAAGTGATGGAGGAGCTTGGTTTTCCATCTCAGTAAAGACCATCATATATGTTAGGCGCCACATTTACCATTTTACTTACTTTTTTCCCTTTAATTGCTTAGGTAGTAAAGGAACGGTAGAACTAATCCTGAAAGGAAGGTGGAGGCAGGGGTAAAAATGACATCCAGCAGCATGTGCAGGCCATGAATTTAAACGCAAGGTTTACTCCCACTCTGACACTAGGGAGTGAGGACTAAGGAGGTGAGAGACTTTGGGAGACTCTGCTGGGAGCGGAGGCTTCGCAGCAGCCACAGTCTCTGCTTGGGAGAAGAGCTGAACCAGCCCTGACATCCTGTTTGGAGGCAGACACTAGAATAATAATGCGCTCTCACAGAAGAATAACGGAACTGGAGGCAAAAAATGTCAACAAAACTAGAGTTTTCCTTATTCAGTAGTTAAAAATGCATTGCAATTAACCAAATTTAAGACACCATCAAATGTAGAAGTCACTATGTTTGACCACTAACAAAGAAAAAAATGATATCAGCATACCAATTGCAGACATATTAAAAATTTTAAGTGTGTCTTAGAATTAATAAATTGTGGTTCATATGCAGGGCAACTTTGTTTTTTTGTAAACCCAGGGGAATAAGCAGTCAGAATTACATTTTTTTCAAAAAAGCAAATACCAGTTTTTAATAATTTAAAGTATCTTTAAAATATTACTTAGACTATTTCCAAAAGGTCAAAGTAATTATGGCAATTATGTTCATTTTTAACCTTTAAAATTAATAAACTGTCCCTAGAATAAAAAGGTAGAATAGCTACATGTTTCCATATGGAATTTTATCAACAGATTCAATGCCTGCAATATTGAAGAGCAGATGAATACTGTCTCCATGTTAGAGCTAATTTCTTTAATAGGTCGGATAAACTGTTGTCCAATTTAATCCAATACTATAGGCATTCATTATGGGAATAATTTGTGTGGCTTACATTTTTCCTTATAGGAGTGTTTCCTTCCAAAATTCAACCTAGAGGTTGACTAGAGATTTTTATAAAACCTAGAGAGGTTGTTATTCATACTCACAAATCATCATTCTCTCTAAGCCCCATAAATCTCTTAATATCATTTCCAATTCAGAAACTGCTGTAGCTACTATTTTATATAAACTCTATAATCCATAGTTGATGTTGCTTATGAGAGTAGAATTTTCTAGTATAAATGCTAATGTATTTTATTTTTCCCCCTTATTTCCTCTGTTATAGAAGAACTCACTTCATATTTTCTTCTAGGACATAATGTATTATTATGTTTCTAAGTTTATAAGAATCAGGAAGTTATAAGTTGAAATATAAACAGATACAAGTATTACAATTCCATTTAAAGAAGTCACAAATAACCTCCCTGAAATATTGCCATTGGCGTACTAATAGAGCCTATAACTCTGGTGAATTTATATTAATGCTGCTTTTACCATACATTAGCATACTTTTAATGAAAGTCTGGAGTTGCTAAAAAGAAAAAAAAACTCTCCATATCATACCTAGATGCTTTACTTTGAAAGCATAAAGTCAACTATAAAATCATTTGTATGTATATTCTCCAAATGCTCAGTAACCTTCCACTGCACAAATCAAAAATATCGTCCTTCCCTTTCTGTCTGATAAGGAGGCTATGAGCCATTCACTCACCAAAGGAAGATCCCCTCAAGTTCCATCAACATGTTCAGCTGTCCCTTCTACTGGGTTGAATCAAACTAATTACCTCCCAACGTCACACACACACAGAAGAAAACCAAAATGCTCAACAAGCTTTTACAACTGGCTGAGCTCAACCTTTTAACATTAGATAAACAGAATTTTAAAAGTTACCTTTAATGAAGGAAAAATTATTATAAACAACCCCAGGATGTACACAATTAATTAGAAAAAAACAACAACTCTTTACGTTAAAAAATTGTGAAAAATATGTTATCGCCGTCCTTCTCTGGTAATTATCTATAACAGATCTATATAAAACCTGCTTTAATTAGAGCATGAAATTACATAGTTTAGCATTTTGCATTTTCTGCCTGGTTGGTGTCATATGATTTTTAAGCTAGAAAATACTTTATGGACCACGTCAGCCATTTCTCTCTTTACGAATGAAACCAAAGCCCAAAGGGCTGAGGTCACAGTGAAAAGCAGGCCAACTTGAATCTAAAAAGCAAAGTCTTTTGGCTCCGTAGTCCAAATGTGTCCCCCACATCATGCTGCCTCAATGACAGTAGATTCAAGGGACCAAGGAAAATGGTGCATGAGAGGAGAGGAAATAAAATGCAATCTAGGAACCTGAAAATTTATATCGTCTTAGAATATTCTTCTTTATACCTTACCAAAAGGACATTGTTATTTCCCCTAATTAGAAATTTATATAAAAGTCATTGGGGATTTCACATCCAGTCTCTGAGGATTACAAGATCAGAAAGTTGAACAGATGTGTACATACAGGTGAATGGCAGCTAGATCAGGTGAAAGTTGAACAGATGTGTACACACAGGTTGAACAGACGTGTACCTACAGGTGAACTTACATCCACATGAAGCCAGAGGCCGTGCTTCTCGCAGACATCGGCTATTTCATCCAGAGGGTCAAACGCGCCCAGCACAGTTGTACCGGAGGTGGCACAGACAAGAAAGGGTGCTGCTCCCTGTGAGAAGGACCCACACATAAGAACTGTCACCATCGCCTCTAAATTTGTCCTGTAATAGGTCGGTAACTTATAAAGGTTGTACTATATCCAGACATTCATTTGGTTTCTTTGGAGATAATCATTAATTCAGTGAATGTTTCTATACTTTTCTACTCTATGGTTGTATATTATAAATAGGTTAGGGAAACTAAGAAAACATTATGACAATACTAGCCCTTGCTCCCAACTCAATAATTTTCATCTCCTTTTCTTTCTATAGTATTTTCTGCTCTTAGTTTTCCCAAATAGAAAGTAAACTCATCTCTATCGGTGAACTGGCATCGGTGTGATTCCTAGCTTCTTGGGGAGAGTCACTGGGCCTGCAGAGTGAGTGCCAAGGCTGTTACCCTTCCCCAACATGAAAAGGAGTGTTTGGAAGACAAGCAGCTCCAGGGACAAAACACGCAGGCCTGTATGTCTGTCTCCCAGTGAAGCAAGTGCAGTTATAAAACAAAAAATGTGCTCAGGTACAAATTTGGCATCAGAGGACATAAGGCAATCTCACTGGGATACATCCTCCAAACCAGGTGCTCAACAGAGAGATTTTTATGATGCGCTAGTAGAGAGAGCCTGCCTGACTCCTTCCATGATTATTCTTCATAAGGCTGATGGCTGCATCTTGCAGAGGGAACAGGTGCCAGAGGGAGATGGAGAAAAGGGGACATGGAAGACATGTGCAGACAGGAATGGTAATTCCAGTCAAGCTAGCCAGCCTCTTGGCCCCAACATGGGGCCAATTCATGACAACTACTATATTTTTTGGACTATAAGACACACTGACCCCAAATTTTGGAGGAAAAGGGGGGTGCATCTTATAGTCCAAATGTAGCTTACCTGGCTTGCTGTGTGTGGGGGGGAGGCACAGCATTGGAGAGGGGTCACAGGTTTTTAAATATTTTACCACATTTTTTGCTTCAACCTTTTTTCCCCTATTTTTCTCCCCTAAAACCCAGGTGCATCTTATGGTCTGGTGCATCTTATAGTCCTAAAACACAGTAGATAGAGGAGATTCGGAGGGGCTGTTTCTGATAGATCCATGCCCCGCCCCTGCCCCGCCCCTGCCAGCAGAGATGTTTTGCGGGATTGGAAGTGCCTCAGAGGGAAAATTTTCAGACAAAGCTGGTGGTGGCGAGGGTTGGGGTAGGGAAGCAACAGGAAGCTGAAGATTCTAGAGCACCTAAGGAATAAGTGACAAGAACATTTACTGCCCATTAAATTCATTTTTACCTCCATTTAGGATGGAGTCATTTTTTTCCCCTCAGTTTTATCTGGAAGTGCAGTTGTTCTTACAAAATACCTGTATGTCCCATTTACTGTAAGTGGTTGTGTCCTCTGACCCAGACTCACTCCAACTTCGCTGACCATGGACAGAAATATCATCTCTGAGTGGGAAGAAGGGCAGAGCTAGGGCACTTGGTGCCCATCTCAAAATTGAGATGCATCAGAATCAAACTGATGGTGCTCAATGAATCCATGTGACACTCAGGCGGAGGGTTGTGACAGTTGTAATCTAGGCCACCCAAACATCTCAGAGTGGGGCCAGTAGGTGACAGAGTCCCAGGGAGCCACGGGCTTTGAGAATTATTTCCTGCACTTCACTCCCAACAGATCATATCTGTATCATGTCAGTAACCTAAAGAAAATGGGACCAGATTTATGTCAATCATTAAAAGCAATAGAATGAGTCATTTACTAAAACCACTTAGTGACTTTAGCAGCTGAGTTTTTCCTCATAAACTATACAACATCCTGCCAGTGGTGAGAAAACACCTTTGCAAGCTATTATAACTTATTAACGACTTTCTCACCTTTTTTAAAAAAAACAATCTAGCTAGAAGCATCAGTCCTGAAATTAAATTTCTGCCATCTGGATTTAACCTTCCAGATTTTTTCCTTTCACACATCTCATGCGATTCGTAAGAAAATTCAGTGGAAACAGAATTGATGGTGGGCTCACAATAAGCAGTCTTCCCGAAGGACATTTGTCATTTCAAAAGTCACCCAGGAAAATTCTCTCAAATATGCAGCAGTTAGACCGGTTTTATCTCTTCACAAGCACTTCAGAACCTCGGATGCCTCTGTGGTTTTCACCACCAAGGAAAGGTCGCTGCTCAACAGATTTTAAATGGATTGTGGCTGGCCAGGGAATTGAATCCCAGCAGGAAAAAAAAAAGTGGATTCACCATTTCCTACATCTGAAGCAATTCAAGTTAAAAGCTTGAAACAGAGCAACCAGGTCTGGAGCTACTGGGAAAAAAAAATAAACTAGTTCATCAGGTATCATCATTTCAGAATGGATTCAAGGTTTGTCCTTGGTGAATCCAGGCTACAGTTTTAACTGACTTGAAAGAAGACTGAGGAAACATGCCAACACTCACCCCACTGCCCTATTTTTAAATGTGCCTAAAGCAATTTTGCTTTTCAAAAACTTCTCTTTACAGGTTCTCAACTTCAGAATGTGCCAGCTTCATGTACTTCATATGTTAAAACAAGCCAACATTTACATAATAAAAATAATAATGACTGCAGTGGGATAAAATAAAACCCATCAAATACGCTAGAACACGAGTTCTTAATGACACCAAACAAAAAGAAAAAATAGACTTCACTCTCATTAGGGGATGCCAGGCAACTAACTCACTACCTGAAAATTAGTAAATAAGGGGGAAGAAGAAAACATCTATTCTGCTTCCCCTGTGAAAACTCTTTCTTTAGGAAACCAAATTGGGGGGTTGGGGGGGGGAGGCCCTCTTCTTTAGAGCAGCATGCCTGCCAATCAGTGCCTGAGGAATGGGACAACAATGAGAACATCACTTAATAAAACACTGGGTCTAGACAACCATCATCCGGGCAGGACAACCCGGGAGGTGACAGACTCATGCAGAGTCCTGTCACCGGTGACCTGGTTATCCCAGAAGCCACCAACCTGTGGCACCACAGAAGGAAACCCAAGACGTCTGCTGATGGAAGGACAAAATCTGCCCATGAATAACTCCTTGCAAAAATTCCATCTGAATTTTACCCAGTCTCAAGATCTAACTGCCAAATTGCAAGAAATATAAGAGAACAGATGGGTAGCACAGAGGAGGGGAGCACTTAGAGTCTCAAATTCGTGATGTCATCTACAAATGCATAATGTGGAAAACTACCAGGATAAAAGGCGTGGTTTCTTCAACAGATCAATTGCAGGAGTTAAAAAAAAAAAGGCGGGGGAAGCTATAGATTAAACAAGACTTACAGGATGAATCAACCAGGGCAACACATAGACCTTTCATGAATCCTTATTCAAACAAACAATTTTTTTAAAAAAGGAATGGGAGAAATTCTAATACAGAGGACATGTTTGATGATATCAAGAAATCATTTCTTATAATGGTATTAATTATTTAAAAAGAGAGACTGTATCTCTTTTGTAGACATACTGAAATGTTTCTACATCAAATGACACAATATGTGGGATTTGCTTCATACTAATCAAATGGTGGTGGGAGGGGAGAGGCAGAGATGAAACAAGAAGAGCGTGAGCTAATGACTTTTGCAATTAATTAATGGTATATGAATGCTCACTGTATTACTTTCATATTTACTTGAAATTTTCGTAATGAAAATTTCCAAATTCAAGAGAGAAAGGAGGGAGGGAAGGGGAGGGAAGGGAAGGGAAGGGAAGGGAAGGGAAGGGAAGGGAAGGGAAGGAAGGGAAGGGAAGGGAAGGGAAGGGAAGGGAAGGGAAGGGAAGGGAAGGAAGGAAATAGTAAAAAAGAGAGGAAGGGGGAGAGGAATGAGTGAATCATATAAACCATACAAAAAGCACAATCAATATTCCCCACCAACAAGCATTAATGACATTAAGAAAGTTCTTTTCGATAGCAATTTCTGTAGAAAAAGATAAAACTAGATTTTTAAAAACAGAAAACTATAATTTGATATCTGTAGTTCACAGCAGAACAAACAGGCGTGTTTCTAGAATTGTGCCCAAGTCAAAGCAATCTGGTCATCTCCGCCACCAGACAACTTCAAATCCACTTGTCATTGGAATGTTAAAAAACAAAAACAAATGCAGATCTAAGGACACACCTGAGGCCAATACAGCCACAATAAAGGCAAAAATTGCAAGCACAAAATTTTAAACCAAATACAATAATCTAGGATGCTCTTTTATTTAAAACATTAAAATACAAATAGTAAAATAACAGACATATAATATTGAAACTTAAAAAAAATTAAAATAAAAGAACCCATCTTTGTTAGAGTATGAAATCCTATGAAGGGAGAGGCAGTGAATCACAGCTCCGAGGCTGGGCTTTTCATTTTCAGCAGTTGCACCTGACTTTGTGGCTACCTGTTGGAAAGTTACGGGAAAAGGGTCTGAAGCTCCGTGGGCAATGAGGACTGTGGTGGGACGGGAACCAAGCAGTGAAGAAGCAGGAACACCTAAGCCAGCAGGCTTTTGGTCCAAGAAGCCAGATGATTGGCACCAACACAGAGACACGCCCAAAAAGCAGGTGCTGGGGCCAGCCCTAGCCAGAGTGTAGCAGGTGACCACTTCTGTGCCTTGCTTTCCCCAGCAACGGACCTATGTCAGGTTAATACATCCTGGCAGCTAAGAAAGAGAGAACATTCTGCCAGAGCTGAAATACTAGCCCCAGACCAAGTACAGGATGATGGTGATGAATGGGCTTTGGGTGGAAGCAACCTGAGAGGAGAGGCTGATCAACAAATCAGGAAGCATTCTGCATGGGAGCAGAGAGAATGGGTTGGACCTGCAGAATTCTCAGAGTCAAAGTTTTGTAGGAATGTGGTCGCAGGGGTCCTACTGGAGAGGCCGGCTTTGCTTTTTAAGGGTAATTCTAGGCAAGAATTCTGAATATGGTGATGTCAGGGTTTCATAGGCTCTGGCCACCAAGGATGAGAACGTGTAAGAAGCTCCACAGAACGTGAAGAGCCAAGCCCCGGGAAACAGAGCACCTGTACAGAAGTTGCCCTGCTTGAAGTCTGCTGTGCCCCCTTCTCTGTCCCTCACATGGAAATGGGTCTGACTGCTTGCACTCCCTCCCTGGGAATCTCCCCCTCACATCCAGAGACACGCATACCTTCCTTTTCCTTCTTTTTTCTCTCTCCCCTCTCACCTGTTTTCTGGCTTGCCAGATTTGCTTCTCCAGTTCCTCAGGTATCATTTTACCTCTAGGAGACACAGATTTGAGACTTTCAGTTATGTTTAGCTGTGAGCACGCTTTGGCACTGCTTTTTTTAAAGTATGAAGTTCCCCCTCCACCCACCAGGCTTCCGGATCCTGTCCCCATTACCTTCCATCTGTTTCCACAAAGCAAATATTCTCAGTACCAATCCCAAGGAAGGAGGCTGCCTTCTTCATGGAGTAGTGACACTAAATTAAAAGGGACAAGAGGGAGGAGAGAGACATGAATACGCAGCAGGAAAAACTAGTGCTTATTATCTAAATGAATATAAATCATATGGCTGAGCCCAATCTTTAAAATATTATTGCATAAAAGAAAGAAGTAATTCAGCTGAGCCCCTTAGCACAGTAGTTGAGAACATTGACTTTGGTTGGAGTCAGAAACACCAGGACTTACTTCCAAGTTTTCCCTTGGAAGTAAGCTATGGAAAGTTGAACAAATAATGTACACTCCCTGGTCCTCAGTTTGCTAATGTACAAAGTGGGCATGTCAGTGCCTATGCCTTCTTTACCATAGAATTAAATGCATAAATATATGGCCCTGGCCAGTGTGGTTTAGTTGGTCGGAGTGTTGTCCCATAGACCAAAAGGGTGCAGGTTCAATTCCCAGTCAGAGCACATGCCTGGGTTGCAGGTTTGGTCACTGGTTGGGGCACATGCAAGAAGCAGCAATCAGTGTTTCTCTCTCACATTGGTCTCTCCCTCTCTCTCCCTGCATCTCTCTCTAAAATCAATGAGCATGTCATTTGGTGAGTATAAAAAAAGTGGGTTAATATATGCAAAGGGCTTAGCACAGAGCCTGGCATATGGAACAAACTTGGTAGTGGAGGCTATTGTTTTCCATCCCAGTGAGAAAATTTCCCTTCATGCTACTAATAAGACTTAGTAAAACCCTCTCAGGAGTGAGCAAGACTTTCAAAAGTTATAATCACAAATCACATGAGAATTTCATTATTTTCAAAAGCAAACAATGGGTTATAAATGCTGGTTTGACACTTGACTGATCTTGTTTAATATGGAATGTAAGACTGAAATTAAACACACAGGAATGTGGCTTAAAATCTTAAGTAATAATAATTCATAGACACATTATGTTATGCAGCCCTGGCACCAAGGAGGCTAATGGCTCTGGAATTAGGTCTCATCTATTTCTTATTGGAAAAAGTAGTAAATGCTTCAGATTGTTGGGCCTTTTTACCCTACTACATAGAGCCTATAAAATAATTAACAATCAAACATTGGAGATGTCAGTCTTTGTACATTAGTGTGGACAGGTGGTCAATTAATTCTTTTTCATGCCAGAAAAATGAAGGTGCTAAAGGACATTATTGTACAAAAAAACCCTTAGTAATTTAATTCGTAGGTATGAATACATTAAAAAAGTAGTCATGCCTTCACACTTAACTTGATGTATTCCCTCAAATGTGGTAATTTTTTTTTCTTTTGTCAAGAGAGGTTATTGGAAGCCTTCTCTTTTTTTAACTCTGTAAAAATAACGGTGGACCTAACACCATCAGGAAAAATGAAGGCATCTCAAATAATTAATTTCCAAATATCAAATAGAACCCATCCAAAATGCTTGGAGGATGCATTCGTTTCAGGCTGTTGCAAGGACACGTGCATACTGAGGGGTCGTGATGTACACAAAAATGCAGCTCATTCCTTGCCATGTCAGCTCACCACAGCTAAGGTAATAGTAAGGCCAGTTATTTCTCACCAGAGATCCAGGCTCAAGCCACCAAATGGCTGTGGGTTTCATAATAATAAATAGTACCCTACCCCACTGACAACTGCCAGTAAGAAAAATGACATTGCTTTTTCCGTAAAGATAGCAAAATAGCTTCAACCAATAGGTCTGAAAAATAAAACACTGGTAATCAGAGTGAGAATAGCTTCAGTGGGGGCATCTTTGGGTACCTGGGGGCAAATGTCAATCTCAAATGCAGAGGAACAGATTAAAAACAGTCTGCAAAACTGAAGTCCGAACATCTGAAAGCATCCGAGGAAGAAAAGAACTCCGGAAGGGGAAAAAGGAAATAAAAAGAGGGCCAGGCTTCAGATGTGCTGGGTAGTTGCAGGGACGGGGAAACCTAGAAGGCTGGGGTTCAGAAGTAACAGATGCGTGTTGAAACAAACCGTGGCTGCCCCCATCACCGGCAGAAGAGAAGTCAGCCATCTGAAGCCCCAATCCCAATCTCCCCCTGGGTTCATTTGTCTACAGAAGATGTAAAAATCTCAGCGGGTACTCATTTCTACAAAGTTAAAACAGCAAGTGCCCACATGAAAGACAGATTGCACTCAAGTTTTCCTTTCCGGTTCCAGCCAGGATTTTCTTTCTGTGACCTTGGCTTTCTCAATGAAGCACTGCTTCCCCCTCCTGTGGATGGTGTTCCAGATGCTTAGACTCTTTCTAGTGCTGCTTAGTTTGATGCTCAGATTAGCTCTGGATGGTGTGGAGAGCAAGGTATGTGCATCTTCTATGTTAGGGAATGAAGAAAAACAGTATTTCTCCAAGAGCACACAGCCGGTTCAAGTCCTCCAGCAGCTGAGCCATTGGCCAGGTGGACTACTCTGTGCTAGGCATGAAATCCTAAAATCACCTGTTTGCCTGTGAAGAACACCTGCAATGACATTCAAACCCAGGTCAGTCTTGCCCGGAAAGGAAGGCCAAGGAATAGGGTGAGTAAATGAGGCACCTCAGGTGCAAAATCTAAGGCAGCACATGTACCCTCGCAGCTCACTCGCCTCACCTCACCTCACCTCGGCCTCCCACCTGCTGGAGGGGAGCTAGCACAATTGATCGCTGGCCTGGGAGCAAAAAGAGTTTCTTTTCTCCCCTCACTATTTAGTGGCAAATGAATGCTACTTCATGTTGATTCTCCAAATGATTTGCATTACAAACCTAGGATTTCTGTAAATGTAAGGAATTCATATGTAACTGCTAATCAAGCCTCACATTATTATTGTTATTACTTTTCCCCCCAAACCCCCTTCTCTTTGGTTCCTGTGTATCCTGGAGAGCCTACTTTGGATATGTTGACAGTGTAGGGGGTATGTGTCATGAATTATAGTCAGAACCTGAAATATGAAAACTGCCTTAAGTGGTGGGTGGCTACATATATTCTGCATTTCATGGTCCAAGGCAGAGATGAAGTAATTATCCTGGTCAATCTGGGGCAGAATAAACACTGGGAAAGTGAGACCACCTTAGTGAGCAATACAAGAAAATATCCACGTGGCCATGTGCCTACATCTGAAAAAAAACAAGGGAAGAATAGCAAAAAGATTAACATTAGGGTTCCAAACCATTTAGGAAACACGGCCTTCTTTAATTCTTTATGTTTAACTAAATAATGAATTGGTTTGTTGTAACAAATGGTGAAGGGGGTCATAAAATATGGATTAAAATAATGCAAATACTATGATCGGAGTCTCTTTGGCAGAACAGGGAAAGGAATGAGCTACACAGTGGAGTCTGGATGGCTAGGGTGAAAATACATAGTCAAGGCTGCAGTGTGCTTGAAGTTATGACATTTTTCTGTGCAATTCACATTAGTGTGTCAAAATTGATGTTTGTTATCCCTCACCCCCAGGGTGATGGTATTGGTTTAGATTAGGTGCTGATGGTGAGACCCTCACAAGATTAGTGTCTTATAAGAAGAGGAAGACAGAGATTTTACTCCATCCACAAGCACGGACAGAGGAAAGGCCACGTGAGGAGCATGCAGTGGTCTACAAGTCAGGAAGTGGGCTCTCACGAAACCCTGAATCAGCAACTTGTTCTTGGACTTCCCAGCCTCTAGAACTGTGAGAAATAAATGCCTGCTGTTCAAGCCACCTCACCCATGATATCATGTTATGCCAGCCGAAGCAGACTAAAACACACATCTAGCTCTTGCATTTATGGCTTCACCTTCTGCTGGCCTGTTAGCCAAGGCATGCATTTTGCCTCTTTTTGCATCCATATCTCCCCCAGAGATTAAACAAACAAACAAAAAAATACTTAGTTCTGGTTTCATAACTGTGTGAGGTTTCAATTTAGTCCCACTCCCAATTTTCCAGCCTTTTATGGAATTTCTTACCCCTTTCCAGGGCAATTGTTCTAGCGAGTTTCAAATCAAATGAAGAAGGAAAAAGACCTTTGCAAGGTGAAAGCACTGAGCTGATACAAGGGATCCTATTTAACCAGCTTACCTAAGCATGGAAGTAGGAATTCAAATGCAGGAAGGATTTTGCATTTCTGATATGCTAGGGTTCCTCAGACTGAAATACCAAGAGTTGGAATCCAGGGGGTGAAACTCGACTCCATGACACTCCCAAATAATCAAGTATTTTTCCCAGATGTCCATATTCCCAAATACTCTTCTCTTGCTATAGAAACAATGTCTCATGAAGAAGGGCCTTCGGATGACTTAGTAAAGAATCTCAGACTACAAGATATTCCTAGATGCCTCCCACCGCTCAATGCCCATTTTGCACTTAGCACTGAACTAACCAGAGTAAAGGTCAGAGAGGAAAGGAGGAAAATGTGGGGGTGGTCAGGTGTTCTTGAACTGTAGACCTCTGTGTTCAATTGGTCTTTATACAATAATTATGTAGCCTTTGCTCTTGAGGGATAATAACAGATACAGGAAAGCACAACTGGAAATAACAGAGAATTTTCTGATTTTACTAGTCTTGCATGTTTGACAGGAGACCTAGGATGATTGCAGAAGGTACAGAAGCTACATTCTTCCTGCCAGGGGTGTGGGGAAGAGGCTTCAGTGAAATGGAGAGAGGCACACACTGGAATCACACAAAAATAGAAAAGGAAAAAATAATCTCTTCTAGATAAGGCAGCAAGTAAATCATTGCACCTATTCTGTCCACATAAGTGTAGCTAGATTATTCTTCTCCCCCTTAATAATAATAGCTAATATCTTTGTCTACCTTGTATGTGCTAGATGCTACTTTACATGTATTAATTCATTCAGTCTTTCCAACAACTCACTAATTGGTGATGAACAAGCTCATGTGGCCATTGGGTTGCTTTAATGGCCCAAATTGTTCACCGTTCTGTGTCCATACCCTTTGCCAGATGACTTTGTAACAAATCTCCTTAAGAGGTAGAGCATTTTCTTAATTCTTGGATCAGGGTTCCTTGACGTGACTTAGTTTGCCAAGAAAATAAGGGAGAAATGACAAGGTTCCAGTTGTGAGCCTAGAACTCCAGCATACCAGTATGCTTCCATGCTGTTTTTTCCCTGCACCACTGCCACAAGAACACACCTAGACCAGCCTGCTGGAGGGTGAAAGACCATGGAGCAGAGAAGACTCAGTAGAGTCATCCAAGCTAAGGCACCCCTGGATGAGCCATTGGCCAGCCAACCTCCAGACAGGTAAGGGAGCCCAGCAAGAGTAGCTATACTGCCTAGCTTATCCCAAGACTTATAAACAATAATATATATGGTTCTATGCCACTCAGTTTTGGGATAATGTATTGCATACTAGGGCCAACTGCTGTGCTCAGTTTTGCAATTAGGAAACTAAGACTCAGAGGAGTCAATCGACTTACCCAAGGTCATTCAGATGGTAAGTAGTGAAGACAGGAAATGAATCCAAGCAGCCTAGTTCAAAGCCAATGCACCTACCAGACCCCCTTTCCTTAAGTGGAGAGTAAAATGAGTTAGGAGATTGTGGCAACATGTGTGTGTGTGTGTGTGTGTGTGTGTGTGTGTGTGTGTGTGTGTATGAGAAAGACAGAGGGAAAGAGAGAGTAGTTTATTATTACTGAATATGTCCTTTTCTTCTTGAAGAGTCCTTGTGTTAGTCATTCAAAGCAATCAATTTTCTAAGAAAATGTGAGTAGATGGCATAGCTGAGATCAGTATCGATCACCCAAGTTCTAATAAATGAGATATTCAAAGAGGAGGTTCACAGAAAGAGATAGCACTTTGAAAGAAAACATTCCCTTTTCCTAGAGAAAATATATAGACTATAAATTTTAAATAAAGGTGATGTACAAAATTGGGTGGCTAATATCAAGCCCATCAGAATTTCTTTTGGAATGAAATATGATGTTCTACTTAGGCATATTAGTCACACACAGAGAGGAGAAAAGCACACCAGGAATCCACAAACAAACAAGCCCTCTTACATAATGCATGCTCGGAAAATTTATACCTGCTATCAAACATAATTTTTTACCTCTGCAGACGTGAAAAGGATTAATCTTGGCAACCCGGAAAGCCCCTTTTCCTTAATATCTGGACAATATTTGTATCTAGCTAAATTCATGGCATACATATTGGACACTGAGCCACCTGCAAAGACAAAATGGAAATGGCATATTTATAGCATGAAGTTATAGCTCTCTAAGTGCTGACTACAGTGGAAAGCACAAATGGCTGTGGCTACACTGTTCTCATGACAAATCGCTATGGAAGTCATCTATGCACCACGCCACCTACCCCATTACTCTTGCACACTTCCTACTCCCTACTTCCTGTGGTTTCCCATCTCTGCAAAGCAGGAAGTGTTGGTATGTTCTCTTACTCCAGAATTTTTCCCAACTCAAAGTTTCAATCTATGAGCTCTGTACCCAAGTCTCTGTAGTTAATAATATTCATTTTGTCTGTCACTTGAGTGATAAAATGACAATCCATGCTCATCACTGCTTCCCCCTAAAAATAATTGGTGGACAAATAAAATATGATTTAGGAAGCTTTACAGGTAAAATTGATCTAAAAACCTAAAAACTTTATTATAGCCCTTCCAAATTCCCAACAGCAGGTACATTCATCTGTGTTAATTATAAAACCTAAATTGTAGATAGCTCATTTGTTTAGCATTCATGTCATTAATTTTGCATTTATATGAAATATTATCACTCTGGAAAATGGCACAAGCCAAAGTCTCCCTCGGTGGCATTATTAATTTTCAACTTTTTGTAATGTATAAATCTGCAAGGAGTTGTTTCTCATTTAACACATGGATACATTTTTGGACACTTGTGAATGGAAGGGAGATGGCAATAACTAATTGTACTTACCTGGGTTAAATATTCCATCCCCTTCTTTCCAGCCAATAAATTCAATCATTTTCTTCAGAACCGCTTCTTCCACTAACAGAAACACTGGGGACACCTCATATGTATAACTGGATAGATATAAAAAATACTTCACTTCTATGACTAGAGTCAAACCATCCCTTTGGTGTCCCACGAAATGCACAAAGAGTTTTATTAAACCAAGTGGCTGTCGAAGTGTAGGTAGAGTCTTTGGAAATGTGTCCATTGGAAATAGAGAAATACACACTCAGTGATAGTGCTAGTTGTGCTTATTTAAATGGAGGTGGCCTTAGGGAGTGCAAGCTACTGCGGCAGTCTTAATTTACAGAAAAGCTTCAGGTCCATCAGGAGAGATGAAAGCAGTGCATCTGGATTCTTTGCATTAGTCATGAGCAGTAACCATTTCACTCTTTAGATGATGCTTTGGATGCTGGCTGAAGGAAAACCATTGTCATGGTAACCAGGTCTTATTAGGTTACTTCTGTGTACAGTAACAATCAGCTCGAGATATTCTACATGGAAATGATCCATCCTGGAGGAGAGATTCCTCCACCACACTCCTGTGTTTGTACAAATGGGAAGTAGTCTGTGGGACATGCCTTATCATGGGATCCTTTTACTGCAAAGCACTACCCAAGCCCCCTGTCAATGAGAAACGTGTTGCTTCAGGCTGGAAGGTTGTAGTCAGAGAGCACTGCTAATCTAACCTCTTGAGGAATTTCCTCAGCTGCAGGGAGGCACCTTTCCCAAGGTCGAACCCTTTCCTGCAGTGGCCTACACCTGACAACTGATCCAGCTGGAGGTGCAGATGTTTGTCCACGTGAGTCCAACGCTAGACCAACCTACCAGGCCACTGAAGTTCCACAGACTCCCTGCGGTCAGCCTCAATCGTCACATAGTCCAAAGGAGAGCTTGACTCCCATTTCTGACCATGTCTGTTTCCTTTCTCTCCTGTCACCCATGTTGAGCCTAAGGGTATTCCTCTATAAACGTCTCGCTCACAGATTCCATATAGGGCAGCTACTCAGGGAACCCTACCTGGGGCAGTAACCACGCCCAGGTTTGTAGTGTCTGAGTCTCTTCTTTCTCCAAATAACTTGAGGGTGACTATCTACAACCTCCTTTAACTACTAAGTGAAAACATCAAATTGTATATATGTGTGTGTGTGTGTGTATATATATATACACACATTCAATATATATATACACACACACACACACCATATATATATATATATATATATATATATATATATATACCTAAATATGTAAACTAAGCAGATACATTTAGACTTATAGTCACAGAATTTAATGTGATATTTTAGCCTCTGGAAGGAAAAACTTTGGGAAGGGGAAAAATAAAACACCTACTATGTATCGCCTTCCTATGTGTCACTGTCTGAGCAGTCTAAGTTCTATTTTTCAACTGTGTTAGGAAACTGGTTTACTAATATCAAAACTATTTTAAAAAGAATGCATGTTTCTATGTACCTACGCATGTAAGTGAAATAATCATTCACTTTCTTGTAAGAAAAACAAATTAGTATTAAACCTATCTTTAAAAACTAGCTCAACTGTCCACCTGGGAATAAGCCTGGAGGTGGAGGAGAGGGCGACATGGAATGATCTCGTGGCTTGGTCACATTTTGAGTGGATGATTCAGCTGAACAGCAACTTAGTATTTCAAAACCCTCTAGATTTCAGCTAAAAGAACTCGGATGAGACATTAGAAAACCCAGGACACACAAGGAAAGGCTCAAAGAGGTGTGCACTTCTACCACCTCTCCTGACTCACCTACCACTTTAATGCTTCTACCCATTGTAACCCATTGTCCCGCATCACTCCACCAAAAACTGAAATCACCAGAGGCACCCACGTTGCTAATCCAGGGGTCATGTCTTAGTCTTTGTCTTAGTTAAACACTCAGCAACACGTGACTCTGAACACACTCTCCTCCATGGCTCCCACACTTTCCCACTCCATCTCCTTCTCTCCCCTTTGCAGGCTGACCTTCCTCCTTCCTCCTCACCATGGAACAGCAGATGTCCTCAAGGCCCAGTCCTAAACCCTCCTCTCTCCTCATTCAATATGCTGTCCCACAGGCTGTATTTCTCCATCTTCTGCTTTGCTTTTATTTCTAAAGCATCTCCATCCTTCTTATTAAAATTATTTAAATGATTTGTTAAACACACCCACAGAAAATCGGATTGAATTGATCTGGTTTAAGACCTGGGCTTCATTTTTTTTTTTAAAGTTCCCAGGTTTAACCTAATGAGCATAAAGGGTTGAGAATTATTGACTTAAGGAAGCTCATTCTTGACCGCTGTTTCAATTCCCATCATTCACCAGTAACTCCTAAATTTCTTCTTTTCGTATAGATATCAGTATGTCAATCTCATATATCTCTCATTTTGGTAGTATATATACTCTTGGATATCTCAAAGTCACTGCAAACTTAAATGCTCACAAGTGAAAATTGAATTCTTGCTCTTGCTTTTTTCACCCTATACTTGAAAGTGTATCTCCTCTTCCAATGCTTATCTCAGTGAATGACATGACCATCAACCAAGCTATGAAAGCCAGAAATGCAGGCGTCATCTCATAAACCTCCTTCATTTCTTCATTTCCAAGATCCAGTATATTGTTCAGTCCTGTCTGTTTTATCTTCTGAACACAATATTTTTTGTCTCTGTTCCTACCACTATTCATCTAAGTCTGAGCTATTATCATCTCTCACCTGACTAAGGTAGTGCCTTCTTACTTGGTCCTGTCCAATCCTCTCTCCGTATTTCCAGTGATAGTTTCAATAAGAAAATGGCACCTAATAATTTAGGAAACTTCAATGGCTTTCCATGGTACTTAGAATAACTCACACACATGCCCCTCTGGGTCCTACAGGCCTGGCTCCAATCTCTCTCTTCAATCTTATCTTTCATTACATTCTCCATAGTTCTCTCAGCTACACCCACAGCGACCTTTCAGTTTATAGCATGCATTATGTTGTCTCTTGCCACAGGGCCTTTGAATGTGCTGTTCCTTCTGTTTAGAACTCACCTCTCCTGTGTTCTTACCATTAACTTTTACTCACCCTTCAGCTCTTAGCTATAACTTCCTCTGAGAAGACTTCCTAGAGCTCCCAACTGGGGAAAATTGTCCCACTTACATTTATAGAATCATGCACCTCTCCTTCACACAAGAATCATAATTTTATATTAATTTATGTGCATAATTTGACTAATTTGCATGGAGCTCTCTAGATCACTAGATATTTTGCTTCATGAAGGCAAAATCAAGACTTGTTTTTGCTCAAAGTATCCGTCAGTACTTAGCCCAGACATGGTTTTTCATGCCAGAATAAGTTGAATGTGGCTTACTCAATGTTCTCACCTGTTAAGTGGAGAAAACACCTGCCCGACCCTGTCACAGTACCAGTGTCAAATCAAACAGCTCTTCAACTGCTACTGTTGTAAGACTATTCCACTATTTGTGATGACACTGTACGAATGAAACCATTAACTAGAAATTAATGAAATAAAATTGCATCTACTTAGAAAACATCTCTAATCCATGTTTGGTGTAAAGTTCCAGTGTAATGATACTTACACACTTGGATTTAATGCTTCTGTCATAAATCGGGCCACCAAGGAGTAATAATCAAGTCCAGCATACAACTGGTTGAAAAATCTTGGGTGGTCTGTAAATTCAAAGAGTATTTATTTACACAGCAATAAAAAAAGAAGAACTATCATTACCATATAGCAATTAACATTCATAAATCTTTCGGATAATAAAAGGAGCTGGACACAAAGAGTATATGTTGCATAATTCCACTTATATGACATTTAGTACCAGGGAGAGCTGATCTATGGAGATGGAAGGTGGAATTCTGGGTAACTTTGGGAAGGAGATGCTGATTACAACGGGTCTTGAGGAGCCTCTAGAGTGTCGAGAATGGTCTGTATCTCTATCTGAGTGGTGGTTACTTATATACGCATACGTACAAATTCATCAATCTGAGAATTTAAGATTTATCCATTGTACTGAATGCAAATTATATCTCAATTTTTAAAAACATTTAAAACTTAATCATGCACAAAGGAAACAAGTGCTATAGACCCATCTCCTTGACCTTTCTACTGAACAATAATGTGTTTCTGAGCAAAACTTGAGCAATCATTTATGAGCATTGGTTTGTCCACTTCCTTTCTTTCTACAACCCGGACCCAGACCAAAACCCTCAAGCTATGGGTTATTTGAACACTGTGTCTACATGTACCAAGTGTCAAAGCCTGCTACCTTTATCCGCTGAAAATACTGATACTAACTTCTCTCAATTTGCATATATTTCACTCACTAACAGGGTTCATTTCAGGCTACTGGCAATGAGTGGCCTTTTTCATTTACAGATTGGACCATTCTCTTACTGCAACTGGCATTATGTAGATGGAGTAGGACGTGACTCATTATGCAGCTGACATAAACTTTCTAATTCAACTCTTTTCAAAGGCAAGTTGCCTTTAAGACTCAGACAACTTCAGTTCCAGCGTTCTATTTTTTCCCCTCCTATAAAAGGTTCCATAAAGGTCCCTGGTTGGACACAGTGTGAATATTCACCCTGAACACCAGGCTAACTGGCTTGACATTCTGAGCCATAGGAAGCCCAGCATGACCAAGACAAAGATGCAGGATGTCTATTTCCAACTCTGAGTATCTGGGAACCATTTCAGCGAGTGACCTCTCATTACAACTTCCAGCTTTTAGTCTGAGCTTATTTTCCTTTCAGCTAGGGGTTCATGAAAAATAAAGTATTGAAAGAAAATGTCTTTTTTTAAATAAAACATGAAAAATTTTCCCTAATCTGGCAAAAGAAACCAGACATTACTACAAGTAATTGTAATAAGATTTTTTTAGTTCTGTGTTAATTTATGATTGATTTCCATGGTAACATTATGGCAAATATCCAGTAAACTGGAAAATCTATGGCATAAATGGCATTCTACATTTCTGACGTGCACTGTAATAATAAGATATGTATCTCTGCTTTTGAAATGCTAAGTGGATTTTGGAAATACTTTCCCAAAGGGATATAAACCAATTATTTTTAGCCAAGACTTTATTATGTTCCTTCCACTCAATTTTGTTCAGTGTCAGGATTCACACAGCACAATGCCTGTACAGTCTTGAGACTAGATTCCCTTTACATCACACTGAGAAATTCATATTTTGGAAAGTTATTCGCCTACTTTTACAACCTTTTCCCTGGGTATATATTAACAGTAGGTTGGAATAGATTCAGCACAAAACTGGTATCATGTTACTGCATTTATAAAGATCACAGTTGTTAAGCTTTATTGTGAAGCTATCACAGCATAAACTTACTATGTACAGTATTCATTTTATACCTTCATAAACTTTTTTTTCTTTTTGGTCCTGCTAGAGTTGATAAAATAATTTGCAATTACCAAATGCCCAAAGTTAATACATATCTTCCAAATAAATCTATTTCTATTTATATTAAAGACATACTCTTGAACATTTTTTTGCATCTTTTGTGGCCATCAAGATTTAAAATCCCTTACAAATTCCACAATCAAAATATCATTGCCAGTTTGGACCAATATAAGGAATGGTAAGTGGCAGTAATGATATATGGCCTTGATTATAAGTGGATGATGAAGATTGCTAAGGAGTGAATAACATTTATATATGACCACTAACACCAACAATTTTGCTATCAATTTATTTTTGGCCTCTACAACAAACCTGTGATAAGGATTAATGGACCATTTAAAAAATATCAGAACCGCTACATTTTGATCCAGGTTTCTCATCCCATAAACACTGTCCTATTCATCTTTACCACCAGGTAAATACATGCTTAAGAACAAACATTTAAGAACTTGTTAGAGGTACAGATCGAGGAAATAACAAATTCGTACTGGTTTTGACACTGTAGCGTATGACATCCCGGCAGAGTTCCAACAGCCTGTGGTGTGGCTCCCCCGTGTCTCTCATCTCCAAATCAAGAAGTTGTTTCAGTTGTTCAGGAGGCTGCCATTCACAAACCTGGAGGGTTAGCAATGGAACAGCTCACTGAGCACCCATGAGAGCCAAATACTGAACAAATGTTAGAAGTTTCCAGACAAGTGAGAGAGACAGATTTAGATGTGCAACCATAGTTGAGCAGGAAAAGAACTCTAACAGTAACACAGAAGCCAATGGAACAAACGAGTGGCTTCACCTTAGATTCGGAAAGCCAAACATTCCCCGGAGGAAATGATATCTAGTTTGTTACAGAAAAGAGGAGCAGAGTGAACCAAGCAAAACTTAGGGGATGGGGTACTACTGCAAGGGACATTCTAGGTGAAAGTAATAGAGGTAACAAAGGCTGGAAAAACTATAGAGGAGCTCATGGCACAAGGGAAGAAGGAAGCAAGTTTAATGTGGCCAGAAGATGCCGTTTGAGGAAGGAAGAGGCAAGAATTGAGGTTGGAATAGCATCCTTGCCTGATAGTCTACTATCAACCTAGAATGCTCATTCCTCTGCTCAAATATCTCCAGTGGGTCCCCATATTCTTCCAAGTAAAGCCAAAGTCCATACCATGACCTAAAATGCCCCTGTACAATCTGCTTCCTCCCAGCAGTGTTTCCTTTCTGTCCTCATCCAGCACTACCTGCCTCCTGGGTGATTCAGCTACACCTCCCTGGCCCCCTTGATGTTCTTAAATGCACCAGGCAAGCTCCCACCTTAGCTTCTTTGCTCCAGTCGGGCCCTCTCCCTGGAATGTTCCTCCTCCAAATATCCTTAGAGCTAACTCCCTCACTGCTCTCACCGTTCTTCTCGAATGTCACCTTCTCAGGGATAGCAGTCCTGATGCTCTTATTAAAAGCCACACGCTGCCCAGTACCCTATCTCTGTCAATCTCCCCTAACTTTTCTGCTTTTCATTCTCTATTAGCACTGAACACCTTCCAACGTTTATTTTGTCCTACATCATCTCAACGAGAACACAGACATTGGTCTGTTTGTTTACTGGTCCCAAAAAACTAACACAGATCTTGCCACCTAAGGGGATGTTCAGTAAAGCTGTGATGAATGAATAAATAAGTGAATGAATAAAGGCATAAAGAAATAAGCAAGACTCATGACAGGCTTTATGTGGCATGTTGCAGAGTTTGAACTTGGCACCAGGAAAGCCATTGGAATGTTTGGAAGAGGGGAATGATATGATCATATTTGTGTTTTAGACAATAGCTTTCACTCTTATATGGAGATTCCATGTAAAATTGGAAATAAAGGTTACTGTAATAAATCAGTCAAGAGATGATTGGTAGGCTGGATGAGAATAGATATTGTATGAATGAAGTATTTCTAGAGATATTTAAAATGCAGAATCAATAGAATTTGGAAATCAATTTCACAGTTAGAATGAGTTATCTGCTTGCATACATGGGTTGGCAGTGGTTCAGGGTGGGTTGAGAATGACGAGTTTTGAGGACATGTAGCCTAAAGATTCTCAGGACCTCCAAAAGTAGTGTGGCCATTGGCCTGAAGTTCCTGTGAAAAATGAGGGAGAGAGGTTCAGGCATACACTGCGATAATCTAACATGGTTGACATGGCTTAGAGAGAACCTACTACAAAGAGGAAAACATGTAGGATCTCACCTGAACAATACCAACACCTAAGAAATGGGCAAAGGGAGAGGAGCTCACGTGTGAGGTGGAGGGCACACTGAAAAGGCAGGGAGAAGCCTAAAAGAGGTTCATGCTATTAAGGACAAAAGGAATTTTCCTCACTGTCAAATCCAAGTGAGAAGCTTTATCCAAATTAGATCAAGATTGAGAAGCGCTGAGTTATTGACAAGGAGGTGTTCTTGGCAAGGAGCAGTTTAACTTAGAGGTAGGAGTGGAGGCCAGATTGCTGGGAAATGAGGATGTAGGAGGTGAGGAAACGGAGGGAGCGAGGGAGGGACAGAGACAATCTTTACAAAGTTTGGCTGCAGAAGGGAGGAGAGAGACAGGGGAGCAGTCAGGAAGTGAGAAGCCTCCACAGTGGGAGGTTGGGGAAAACAAAAGGAAATACCACGTTGACCAAGAGGTATGGAACTAAACTCTGATGTTAGGTCTACAATAGACAGAAGGAAAACAAAAGTAACTGAAACAATGAAAAGGAATAACTACTGATTCACACAACATGAGTGAATCTCAAATACATTTTGCTGAGAGAAACTAGCAAGAATCCAAGTGCTACTGGTGATATGATTCCAAGTATCTGATGTTCTGGAAAAGACAAAAACCACAGGGATAGAAAGCAGATCGAAGGCCGCCAGGGTCTAGAGTGGGGGGGGGGGGGTGACTGCAGCAGGGCAAGAAGAATATTAGGGGCGGTGATGAAACTGTTCTATTGTATATCTTGATTGTGGTGACCATTACATGATTTCTCAAAAATCATAAGCAGTACACTGAAAAGAGCAAGTTTTACTGAATGTAAATTATAATTCTTTTTTAAAGGCACTGAGAAAGCTTTTCTACCACAGAGGGTACTAGAAGTAATCATCTCATGAAGTGTGGAGATGTATAAGGAGGTCACCTTATTTTTTTACTTTTTAAAGTACATGTACGAGGTTGACATTGGTTAATAAAATGATATAGGTTTCAAGTGCACAACTCTATGTTACATTGCACTGTGTGCATCACCCACAGTCAAATCTTCCATCACCATGTATTTGACCCTTTATTTACCTTTTACTAATGCCCACCCCCTCACCTTTTAATGGTACCCTGTCGGATGTCTGACAAAGTAGGCTAAGTTGTAGCATAGAAACTTCACCATCTCCCCCCTTTAGATTTCCATCCACATTCACACGGATAACCTACGCATCTATTATACTGTGGTTGACTTGTGGTTTTTTAATGGATAACTTAGGATCATAAGCCTCCCCTTCTCATTTTATCTCCCATTGGTTCCTCATGTAAATACTTCTTTACAGGCAAAAAGACCCCCTTACTACATTAAATGTATCTTGTTCTTTCACAGCTCTCTTTTGGTATTTATCTCCCTGCTTTCTTCAACACAGAGGCTGACTTCTCTCTGTCCATCAAAATCTCACTTAACCTTGACATTCCACATCAAAGCTCAAAGTGCCCACTCCTTCGTGAAATCCCCAAAATCAGCCCCAGTCACCCAGCATTTATCACATTCTTACTGGGACCCCCTATTTGCTTTCCAAATGAAAACTTACTCTTCTAATTAGATTATCAGTTCAGTTCAAACCTGAGCCTTTATCTTATTTTTCTTATATACCCCAGGGCCAAATATAATGTCATACCCATAGATAACACTCAGTTAATATTTAATGACTGAATAAAGGCCAATTTTTTTAAAAATCTCACCAGAATGGCAGTGTGTGCCAAAGTAAAGCAGATGCAAAATATTTCACAAGTACAGATAAGAAAATAGGCAACTATAAATATATAATCAGAAAATATCTGCGATTTTTGCCTTTAACATAACTATTCAAAGTTCACTGGTCACATTGATCTATTTTTGTATTAGTTTTCCCAAATGCATGTGATCAAATATTCAGAATAAATTCTGCTTCACATTCAAAATTTTTTCTTAAATGACATTTATTTCTGACTAACAGAATTGGTATAAAAGTCTCTCGTCTTTGTTGATCCATTTGTTGGTAATCCATTCCCATATAAAAGGTGGTCAATGTAAGAAAGGGTAATCTAGGGATTTAAAGAGATGTATACAGTAGTTAAAGGCACAGACTCTGAGGCCAGGCTGCCTGGATTTGGGGACCAGCTCTGATGCTCACTGGCATGTGATCTCAGGCAAAGTACTTGACCTCTTTGTGTCTCACTTTTTTCATCATCTCTAAACTGGAGTTAACAAATAGCACAGTCATACCTCGGTACTCCTCGGCTTCAAAACTCATCGAACCCTATACTCGTCACATTTTGACAAGAAAAAAACACATCAGCACTCAGTGCTTGCTCACCTCTCATCTAGCCTGCTAAACCCTGTAGGAGTCACGATGCCACCCTGCAAGCAAGATCCTTCATCATTTGGTACTCGTCAGTTTCAGAACTCATCATGAGTTCTGTAATGAGTTAACAACAAGTTAGCAAGAAAAGCACCAAGGTACCACTGTATCTCCCTCTTGGGGCTTTTTAAGGATTAAATACACAAATACATATGGAGGAGTCCTTAGAACATCTGGTGCATCTTAAGTATGCTTTAGAGTAGATGTTATTAGCAGTAGTTCCCAGATCATTTTGAATCTGACTTTGAGCCTCAGTTTGAAACCTAGAACCAGTCATTACTACCAGTCAGAAGTCAGACTTGAAAACCCAAGCATTCCAACCTAAGCTCAGACAAGTTCCTGATAAAGACCCTCAGATAAATTAAATTTTTTCACACCTTTTATAACTACATATTAGCTATATAAAGAATGTGCAGCAAAAAAATGGAGAGCAAAGTGTGTTTTAGAGAGTGTATTAATCAGACCATTAAGTTATTTATAGTCTATATTATTATCTGGGGCAGAAAGCTTCGTGGACTTATATGCATAAGTGCTGGAGTCCTAGCCAATCTCCCCCCAAATAATGGCTGTTAAGAGTTAGCCCTTCCAGGAAAGCAGATACGGGAGTGGAAGGGGTTGGGCAGGAACAAGTGCAAACATTAGTATCTGGGCAGCCCCCTGAAACAAAAGTACAGAAGATATTAAAAGTGTGTGCTTTCCATTTCTCTTACATCTAGCCATCCAGATTTGGGGAAAAGAAGAGAAAAACACACAAAAAACAATCCTTCCCATTCCTAGGGCTTCTTACAGGCTTTTTTCTTTTACCTTCTCATTGACATCTGTAGCCTTCAAAACCACCTCTTCCATTATTAGCCTCCAGGCCTCTTCAACAAATTTCTCTCTTGCTTTTGTATCTGTTGTGGGACCATTCAGTATGACCCCATCCATGAGAACAGTGCTCTTCTTAGTTGGAACCATATCTTGTTGACCAATATTTCCTGGAAGTACACAAACAAATTATGTTTGAGAGATAACCTAATTAGACCACAGCAAAACACAGGGTAAAAAAATGAATCACCATCCCAGCTTCAAATGGCAGGCTTTATTTTAATATTGGGTTGGCCAAAACCTTCATTTGTTTTTTTCTGTAAGATGGTTCGAGTAGCACTTGGTTGTCTTTAATTTCATTTGAAACAATTTTGTTAGATCATATTGCAACAGCTGTCATATCAGCAGGCATCTTAAAAAAGTTATCAAAATTGGAGAATTTTACTATAGCCATTTTACTATTGAAGATGAAAGAAAACATGCAACATTTTTGGCATAATGCTTTGTTACTTCAAGAAAGGTTAAAGCACAACTGAAACAAAAAATAATAATTTGTGCAGTGTACGGACAAGGTGTTATGACTGATCGAACATGTCAAACGTGGTTTGCGAAGTTTCATGCTAGAGATTTCTAGCTGGATGATGCTCCAAGGTCCATAGACCAGTTGAAGTTGACAGAGATCAGATCAAGACATTAATGGAGAACAACCAATGTTATACCATACAGGAGATAACCAACATAATCAAAATATCCAAATCAATAAAGTTATTGGTGAAAATGAAAATTGTGCCTTTTATTTAACAGAAAAACCATCCTGGCTTTTTGCCCAACCCAATACATTCGCACCATTGAAGCTGACAGTTTCTTATATGGTGGCCAACTGTAGAGTTAGGGAAAGAAACTTCTATGTTCCATTCCTACCACATCTTGTTTAGCATCGGGGAGTTTGATGGAGCTCAAAACTGTATTCTCACTCTTGCAAATACCTTTCAATCATATGTACAAAAGATCTGTGTCTATTTCATGAACACACCCTTTCTTGTAATTTTTAAAGGATTGTCATATGCTTCCTTTTAATAAGTTACTCCCAGAGAAGAAATAACAATACCAAAATGTTGCTTTTCTTGACTTTAGATTTTTAAGCTCACATTTATAAGGCCCTCTCTATTACAGACAGTGCTTGGTCCCTGAAAGCCCCTCCTTACGTCTCCTCACCATTTCCCATTGAAAAGGGATAAAAGAAAATGTGCACCATGGTCGTTTGTGTGAAGCCACATTTAACGCCTTTACACTTCTCAAACTTGCAGCTGGGGCAGAGGCAGAAAAATGGAACAGGAGATTTTTAGAATGGCATAATGGCCAGTCAATGACTAACGGTTAAAAAAAAGTCAGCATGGAAGTTTATATCTGAGAATAAAATAATTTTGGTCACTTAATCCAGATACTCAACCAATATATGATACAAGCTTTGATTATTTTTTTTCTGATGAGTATCTCTCTCCTCCTTATAATGTTCATGTTCACTTAGTTGTGGAAATTACAGAAATAATTTTGAAAGTATTTTTCAGCATTGCATCTAGCACAGTGCCTTGTGTATACTTTCTAAAATTACCTTAAACATGCTGATGATCTAACTATATTTTAAATATCTTTACACTTACTGAGAGCTCTAACAGTATTACTATTTATTATGCTTTGAGTCCATATTCTCCTCAACATTAAATGCTTTGATTAAATTCTGTGGTTTATAAACCCTTCAACTCTGTTGCTGGCAAACTCATATGGTATCCTCAGAGGAAGATGAACATATCACAGGAACATTCCTCAACTTGGGAAAGATGGAATCTGCTGCAAGCAATCTTTTACCCTCACACCGAAGGGTAAACCATCCAGAGCCCCAAAGTTGAATTTTAGTTCCAGCCTTCACTATCACTTATCTTTCACTTGAAAGGATGTATTTAACATGGTTTAGGATGAAATGCTGAAGCAATGGAATTGTACTTTTAGACAGAAATGCTCTACACCTAAAGGCACTTTTCTCCCCCCAATTTTTAGGTCCTAAAAATAAACTGGAAAAGAGGGCAATTATTCAGGGAACCCTGGTTATGTCAGTAGTCAGTGCTATTACTAATCACCCAGAAAAAGTTAGGGTTTTTTCTTCTTCCCTCATTAGTAGGATTTCAGGGTTTTATTGCCCAGGGAATAGCAGCTGCTCTGTAGCCTTCTCAGATCAGAGTCTCTCTCTTTCTCTCTCTCTCTCCCTGCCTCTCTCTCTCACACACAGAGCAAAAAATGTCAAACACCCACTTTCAACCAGAATAGCAATGCAATTGGAATTAAAATCATCTCTGTGTCCACAGCAATCAATTAAAGAAGTGCCCATAAATCATATCTGGAAGAAAATACTATAATAATTGGGTATAGATTATTCCTCTTTTCTTGATAGATATGTTTTATTTCTACTGCCAGACATGATCACATGACTCTTCCTCCCCCTGCATTTCCCAAATTAGAAAAGACCCTCTGGAGATTGTATAGTAGGTCAAGCTGTGATCTTTGGGGATGCATTCTCAGGACTTCCAATCTAACTGCTAGAGTTACAGTAGTTAAAAATAAAGTCTTTCAGTTGAAAGAATTATCCATGTTGCCAGCATATGACTGCTCTTCATTACACTCTCCCCTGACACCATCAAATGCTCAATGCAAACCACCATCAAATGCTTAGATTAGTGGAGCAGCCTCCCAACCGACCTCCCAGTCTCCATCCATACCCTCCATGCCATGTAGACTACTCTCAAGACAGTAGTTCCTATGTTCCTTCGAAAGGGTAAGTCATATCACATGGTGGCTATTCTACTTAAACTATCAAATGGCCACTTAGCTCATTAAACCAGCAGTCCAGGCCCTTATAATGACCTCAAAGGCCCTAAATGAATCCCTTTCCCTATTATCTCTTGGACCTCAAACCTCTTATCTTATTACTGTCCTCTAAGCTCTCACCACTTTTGCTTCTTTCATCTTCTGTGACTCTTTCCTTAAACATCAGCTTCTGAGCAAGTCCTAACTTGTTAACCCTACTAAAAACTGCAACCACTTCCATGGTTGGTATGGCTCAGTGGATTGAATGCTTGCCTGTGAACCCCCATTTCGACTCCCAGTCAGGGCATACTCTGAATGATGTTTCTCTTTCTCCCTTCCTTCCCCTCTATTAAATAAGTCTACCAGCCAGTGACAATGCTCCCCTCCTCTTTGATGTCATTGCAAGTTACTGGACCTTACTAAGCAGATATAGGGATCTTTGCTAGGAGTAGGGCAGATAAAGAACCCAATTCATGGGTGAGAGAAGAAAGTAGAAACTGAAAGAAGAACTTAGGAGGTGGGGTCAAGTAGTCAAAACAGAGTTTATGGTCTCTGGATTATCAAAGGACACCTAAATGAGATTCTCTCACTTTCCTCTCTCCCCATTCATTTTACTGCTGCTACTCTTTCTTATTTTGTAATTACTTGACTTCTAAGAGTCAGTCCATCCCCAAATCTCACTCCATGAACCACAATTCCATATGTGAAAATCAGTCAACCCCTAAACACTTTGACTTCTAAATTTCTACCAGTTCCTCCACTCCATATCTTCCAGAACTCTATATAACCATAACTTTTGTTTTATTCCAAGAGGTGTAAAGCTCCCTCTTGTTTAACAAATAATGAATTCAGCTTCAAATATTGTTTCAAATATTGAGAGTCAGCATCTTCCTTTGACATAAATTAAATGGATTAATACAGATAAATACTTAAAATAGTGCCTGGTACACAGTGGGCACTCAATAAATGTTATTAATATTAACTATATAACAATTACCTAGTTCTAGAAGGCAATCAATATTTATTAAATACATAAATGCATAAGAGCAAAGTGACATTTGCATGTGATAGTAAGTTACAACAGTAGAAAGGGAGATCTCCTGAGAGTTGTCAAATGACCAAGGTAATGAACTCCAGCGCAAGTGGTGGGTTATCCAGTGGAAGAGTTGGAAGAGGGGCTGCAGTCATAGGGAATGCCCATGTGAAGAGGACAGAACTTCCTGCCACAATGTTCGGGACACAAGATGACAGTCAAGCAGGTCAGCCCACACTGGGAGGGCGCAGTTCAGCAGCTGGCCTTAGGGGGCACTCAATACCCCTCTGAGAACTGACTGGTTGGCTATAAAATTTTCTTGAAGGTCATCTTATCTAACCCTTCCATACAACCCATGGTCTCTGATCCTGGTATAATACAACCTTTCTGTACCTCAGTCTCCTTGTCTATTAAACAAGAGATGATCCAAGGAAAAACATGGCTGGCTGCCAGAAAACTCTGGGAAAGACTAACTAAGTTCCAGATTCCTATATTGCTACCCAAAAGATTTTGTTCTAGGCTGCAGCCCAGAATCTCAAATCTGAGCAAGCACTCTAACATACACTAATAGTACGGAAATACAGGGTGGGCAAAGTAGGTTTATAGTTGTGAGTATGTGAAACAGACTTTATTCGTGTATTTTTATTTATTAATTATTGTACTATTTCCTATACAAAGAACTACAAACCTACTGTGGCCCCACCCTGTATACCAGCATGCAGGTGGGTTTAGGAATAACTGTTCTGGGTGACTCTAAGGTCAAGTTAACATGTTTCATATGTAAACAATGGAGACATTGGAGGTTAAGGCTTAGCATTATAGAAAAACTTGAGGTATCAGAGAAGACTGCTGAAGGAGCAGACTTGTCTTCTCTTCGATTATCTGCAGTAATAAGTAATAATAATAACTTTAGCACTTCATCACTTCTTAAAGTAGTAACTCCACTGACAGTTGGAATGGTCACAAAGCTTCTTACAGTGATTTCATTTTGTGTCATTTCCACAACCTCGTAAATGGGTGGACAAAGCCAGTCTCATTTCTCTTCCATGGGACTCTAATCCAAACATGCAGAGTTTTACCAACTCTCGCGTAAATTCCCCCCCCCCTTTTTCTTTCCAGTTAAAACTACTCCAATTTGTTCAATGGTTTCTGATGCCCATGGTCAATGTCTGAGTCAGTTTATTTTTATCTTAAAAAATGAGGCACTGCACAAAACTGCAGGTGTGGTCTCACCTGCTCTAAATCCCTATTTCTTGTGCTGTGGTCACCATATTCCAT